ATCCTTCATACTTCCTTACACTTAACCAGCTTAAACTCCTGCTCTTCTGAAAATTTTATATTATTAATTTAAGAACTGTACGTACCTAATAAAAATATCGATATATTACCAATACAACATATATTACTACATACAATACATAATACAACATATGACATATAATACTAAATACGAAGCATAATAACACATACGACACATAATACGACATATGGCATTACATCGTGTTTGTAACACTAATACGGCAAGTATTATTACATGCCGTGAGGTATTCTAGGTTGTAATTTTTGAAATCCGCTAGCAACACTAGTGGTATAACATCCCTTGTTAAAATCATTTGGAATTTTATTATAGATCGAGACGACAGACGTTAAAACTATTAGGTGCTTCTAACATGATGCGCCGTATACCTGGCTTTTGGCGATTCTTTTCTAGGTGTATAATGACAATCTGGAATTACAAATTCATCATACCTTCGTCTGTTTTTCCACCTACTTAAGTTATCCTCATTCTTGACCGTGTTATTAACAATCTTCATCGATCGTAAGATCTCAAGCTACAACAGAAAAAAGCCAAGTTTTCGTAAAATATAAATATATGATAAAATAACAAAAAAAAAGTAAAAGATTGACTTTTGCATATATAACGGTAACCAAAGCATCCAACGTTCTATTAAATTGTGTAACGTCTGCCTTAACCTCAAGAGGCTTTTCCCTTGTATATCTACATACATAACCACTTGGGAAGTCGAGCTTGGTTTTAATTAAAACTGCTCCTTTAAGAATGAATGTACATTAGAATTTCAATAAACCTTCATAAAAAATACTATGAGTACAATGCATACCTGAGAAAAAAAATCCTGGCACACTAATTTGACGCATTTTTTCTTCGCAAAAATTTATTCTATGGGAAAGGCTTATAAAAATGTCCTTTAGAGTCTTTGGTAGACTCAATCCACATTCTTTTATGAGTTTAGTGCCTTTAACGCCTTCCCATCTATTACCGCCTTCTGTTGCAGCCCAATCAGTAGGCTTTGAACCAAATTCTCTTACGTAACCATCCCCTTTTTTACCAACAATCTTACGTTTCATTTTATCAACATTACTTAATTGCCTATCTCGGTTCTTCCTTTCTGAACTCGCCACCCCGGCCTTTTCACCTCTAAATTGTTGTTTTAAGAAAAAAATATATTAATATAAAAAAAAATATAAATAAATAAATTAGGCTAAAATAAATATATAAATCGAAAAATAATGTTTATATATATACCCAACAAAAAAAACAAAAGGCATGTCAGAAAACGCTACATCTAAAGTTCTCCACACGTTGGTTCTAAACCAGTTTTCCGAGAAGTTATTCATGGTAAGTGGGTTTGGCCGCATTTCTAGTAATCTTACCCTGCATAATTATGGCCTATTAATTAAATGATAACGGATAACAAGCTATGAAAATTTTGCTTGGAATTTACCAGTCCGATACTGTTGTCCGAACGTGTTCATAAGCAAAATCAGCGAATGGATCATAATTTCGATTTAATTTTGGGTGAGGCGCATATAAAGCTTCCCGAATATCTTTTGTTGAATCCTATAAAAAGTATTAATATTCTGAATCATTGGATTCTTGCAAAGACAACTTCCGATCTTGATATGAATGCTTTCAAGAGAAAATAAGATTCAGCTCATAAAAAATTATATGATATAAGAATATAACTTATATTATTAAAGGGCTGAATTCAATAAATAATAAACGATAAACTTTGAAAACCCGAAGTCTTGTTTTCTCTTGGAAGCACTCATATATAGATTGAAGAATCGTAATAACAATAACACCCTAACTATTTACTTTCGCAAAGGTATTGATATATTTCAATAAATCATCTGTAATATGTAATTGTTCGTCTCTATAATTTCTTTCAATTCGGCATTCGTAAATCCAGACTGTATAAATTCATCCTCGGGATCAACAATAAATGAGTGGACGAGACTTAAAAATATAAATGACACAGTAAAAAGAGTTTAAATTTAAAGTTCATTGATCAAGATATAATTCGTACATACTTATGGTACTTGCACTTCATACCCAAATCATATATTATGTTTTCAACATAAATTTCCGTACTCAATTTCCATTTTTTACGGTCATCCATAGAATTAAATCTATATTTTAGTACAATTATTAATATTATATTACATATCAAGACTTTTACAAAAAAATAAATAAATAAATTTTACCGATTTGTAAATAAAATTTTATCATTTTCGTTGAATTCATCGTTGTTCTTCTGATCATGAGAACTTGTAAATTCATCGAAAGTTTGGTTTCTTAATGCACTTGATGTTCCATCATCGTTATTGCTGTCCTCATCAGCATCATAGTCACTGCTTCCATCCTTATTTTTCTAATATACAATATAAAAAAAAAATGTAAAATATTGGTTAATATTGTGTCTTACAGTATTAAGCAGTTATATTTTCTATTAATATCAAAATATTAATATCAAAATAATATCAATATCAAAGTAAATATTAATATTAAGTAAATATTAATATCAAAGTATATTAATATCAAAGTAATCTCTTCTTATGATAAGGAGATACAAAATTGATTCCTTTTCCGGAATCAATAGACTCATCCAAAGAAATCTCTTTAGGTTGTATATCCATTATGTAAACCGCAACGAATCATCTTCGCCATAGTGAAACGTACCGATAGCGCCCTTGCACATTGCTCAGGCGCCTCACAAGGGCAAACAGCAATTAAGTATTTTATCCCTTATGGAAACCGCAACGAATCATGGCTTCATGAAACGTACCGATATCACCATCACATATTATTTATAATACACCCTTTCTCTGCATTAAAATAATAGCTCTGGTGATCTCACAATGGCAACCTAAAGGAAAGGGATTTGACAATTATAGAAAATATACTTACATTAGATATATTTTTGTAGGTTTGTCGACTTTTCTTTTTAACGGTTTTAATGCTTTTGTCATTTTAATGTTTTAATGTACTGAAACTAAAAAATGTATGCAACTTTTTAGAGATAACGGGAAACCCTATAGTGTAGTAGTGTAGACCGAACACTTAATCAGGTGATGTGATTATCATCCTTAGATGTACATGAAATCAAAACAACCAAGATCTTGAAATTTGATTGGTCGATCCGACAAATCACTAGATGCGTGACTTATCGGCACAGCAACAAAATTGAACGAAAATATCATGAAAACCACTAAGCCAAGACTTGATAAATTTTTTTATTCGAATTCTACTGATTCGTAAAATTCAAATAAAAAAAGGTTTATCGAATTTGGCTTGTGGTTGTCGAGATATCTTTGAAAAAATTTAAGTCTATTATAGTAGATGCACTAAAATTTTTTTCAACTTTGAACAGAGAAATCTTGATAACCACTAAACCAGATTCGATAAACCTTTTTATTCAAATTCTACGAATCTATAGAATTTTTTTTAAAAAAAGTTTATTGAATTTGGCTTGGTGGTTGTCGAGATATCTTCGCTCAAAGCTAGAAAAATTTTAGCACATCTATTTTGATGGGCATTTTTTGAAAATTTTTTAAACTTTGAGTGAAGATATCTTGACAACCACCAAGCTAAATTCGGTAAACTTTTTGAATTTTACGAATCAGTAGGATTCAAATAAAAAAGGTTGTCGGGTTTGGCTTAGTGGTTTTCGCTCAATTTTGTCGATCATTGAACCAAAATTCAGCAGATCGGCCCGAATTTAGGGTCGGAATTGATAAATTTTCCCAAAATTTTTACTAATTAACTGGCATCCTATAAACAAGTCCGCTACTAGTATGGTTGGCCAGTATTATTATCTAATGCCGGCCAAGTTCTGGCCTATTCTGACCCTAAATTCGGGCCGATCTGCTGAATTTTGGTTGCGCTACTAATCTATCCTAAATTTCTGATACCCTGTATGTGTATGTGAAATTTTGTCCTTATAAGCATTCCTATTTAAAGTACAGTATTTAAGAAAGAAGTCTTTCTTCTTTGAATGTCTAAAATAAATATCCTATACTAAAAGTACTGAATTTGTCTAATTATTAAGAGAAAGTTGATTTTTATAATGGGAAACAGTTTATTATATTTATTATCATAACATTCGGATGCAGTAGAATCTAGTACCCTAGCCATGGCGAAAAAAAGTATCGGGAAAATGAGATTCTACTTGAACATCAACGTTCTGATTGGATGAAATTAATTATCAAAATGTCCTAACTTTGAACAAGAATATCTTGACAACCACCTATATAAAATCGATAAATTTTTTTTTATTCCAATTCTATATACCTGTATGTATGTATTGATTAATACATTTTATATTTTACCTTTCGCTTAATGAACTTTATTTAACTAAGAAACAATTCGACTAGGTTAATTACGATATATATTGTTATTGTAATGTTTATTCGGTTCTAAACCAGTATGTTTATCTATCACTATACTAAACTAGTGAATTAATCGAAGATATTTAGAACAGAAGAAGCTTATTTTTATTCGTAGAGAAAGTTAAATTGCTTTTAAAAATCGGCAAAAGTGGTTATAATTTTTACATAAAAGGCGCTAAGAGAATAAATGTCAAAAGATAATTAATTACATTTATGCAATCTTGTATGTAAAAATTTGCAATCTGACCCTTGATTGTAAAATTTTAGCTCTTATATGTAATTATTTTCACTTTCATTTTTCGGGCCTTTATATGTAAATTCACCATATTTTTATTAGGTACGTATAGTTCTTAAATTAATAATATAAAATTTTCAGAAGAGCAGGAGTTTAAGCTGGTTAAGTGTAAGGAAGTATGAAGGAT